TTGACAAGGGAGTGTTGAGGTTGCACCAGAGGAAGTACTGTGAGGGGCTGGCTGAGAAGTATGGGCTGCAAGATGGAGGAAAGCCAGCCACCCCACTGCCTTCGGGGTTCACTGTGGAGCCCTGTGCTGATGAGGTGGTGGGTGAGAGTGAAAGGAAGTTGTTTCACTCCATGGTGGGGGCACTCAACTATGCAGCTAACCACACGCGGCCTGACATTGCCTTTGCTACATCTAGGCTTGCGAGTGTGGTTTCACGCCCCAGTCATGAGCAGCTGGAAGCGGCCAAGAGGTTGGTCCGCTATGTGAGCGCTACAGCATCAGTGGGCTTGGAGTACAGTGCTGTGCAACAGAGGCTGCATAGGGGTGCAGCTGACTTGAGCAAGGGGGAGATGCTCTTGGATTGCTACACCGACGCCAGCTTCAACTCTGTGAAGGCGGATGGCACCAGCATTGGAGGCTATGTGTGCCTGGTTGGAGGTGGTGCAGTGAGCTGGCGCAGCAAGAAGCAGAACGAGGTGGGGCTGTCCTCGTGTGAGACGGGGTACATGGCCCTTCATCATGGGGTAAAGGAGGTGGTGTGGCTGAGGCGCTTGTTGGAGGAGATTGGTGTTGCTCAGAAGGAGCCGACTGTGATATTATGTGACAATGAGTCGGCAGTGAAGCTTGCAAAGAATGCTTGCCTTCATGGCCTGACAAAGCACATCAAGCCTAAGTGGCATTGGACGAGGAGGCTCATAGACAAGGAGGTGCGGCTGGAGATTGTGAAGACCCAGCAGCAGGCGGCTGACATTCTCACCAAGCGCCTGGCAGGATCTGAGCATTGGAAGGGCATGAAGCTTGCAGGAATGAGTGTGCATTGAGGGTGCATGCTTGAACCATGGCATGTGGGATGATGGTTGGCAGCCAGAGGGGGAGTTTGTTGAGTGATGCTACCATTCGCATTCACGTCTGTCTGCCTCCCATCATATGTTCGTGCGTTGCATGCGTGGTGTGAGCGTGTGCAAGAATTTGTGTTTTTGTGCGGTTTGGATTTTCTGAGTATGTGTGAATGCTATTTGGCTTGAGCAGATATCTGAAGTGACTCATCTGCTCAAGTGCTTTCCGACGAGCCAAGGATCGCTTCAGTCGGAGCACGAACAAGAAAGTTACAAACGTTCAAAGTTCGTATGCCTTTCATGTTTGGTTGTGGCGACTATAGGAAGTTGTGGGAATGACTTTATACGGGGTACAGACTTTTGGGGGTTGGGAAATTCGTACTCATCACTGTAGATGCTGCCAAGTGGTTGGGTGAAGCCAAACCAGATTGGCAAGTGTGGCCAACTTGGGTGAGGTGGATTGTGGAGGTTGGGAAAGTGACAAATGTCAAAGTTGGGTTGTCTAGAGAGAGGGGAATTGTGTGGCATGGGGTTTCCTTGGTTGGGGACTCCCTTGGGACCTTCCCTCTCGTCCTCCTCATCCCCTCCCACCTGGTTCATTCCTACTCTAACTCTCTTGTGTAGTAATTGTGAACTTGTGTGAGACTATTGTGATTGAGTAAAGATTCAATGGCAGCATACCCCCTAGTGCGCCGAAATTGATGACTCAAGAAATACTTCACCTTTTTGTACGATTCAACTTGGGAATTGTAGCCACGGAGTAGAGCTACAACATATCTGAGTTTGGTGAAGTTTTGACCGTGAACGTTTCGTCGACGGCGTTTCTTGTGAGCGCGACTTTTCTGTCCAGAATTCTAAGCCAACGATTTTGAGAATTTTATGCACCTAATCTTCGTAGACTCCGTCTTTAGTCTCTAACAGACCCTCGGCTACAGTAGTCTGCTTCTTGTTGCTTGCTGTAGTTATATATATACATATACTTGTGAACTCTTAAGCTGGGCTTGTGGCCCTTTGTTTGTGCTTAGAATGTGTGGTGACTTTGTGATCCAACCTGAGCTTGCTGTGTTTCTTCCCTTGACTGGACTTGTGACCACACATTTATCATGGTTGTTTTGATGCCCCTCACTTAGCCTATGGGGGTGTGTCAAACTATGTTTGTAGAAATAGATATGCTGCAGTGCCTTGCATGTTAGGGGGTACAAGACATTCGCGACACTTTGCTTGTATCCCCCCCTTGACCCAGTCCCGGTCAGTCCCTCATACCTAAGATAGCTACTAAGGGTACAATCCTGTGGAGACAATTGTGTCTCAATCCCCTTTTTCCCGAGTCGCGCCTGTAAATTTGCCAAATGTTGTGTTACAAACGGCAAATGTACCGCAACTTAGGGCGACAGATTGGCTTTGCCAGGCGTGCGCGTTCTATTGGACGCGACCAGTTGGATTGAGCCCACCCGCTTTCCCGCCGGGCAGGGTGCCAAAACATGAGAAAACGAAGCGAATGTCACGGGGGGCTTGCCACAGTAACGGAAGTTGCAAATTGGGCAAGTCGGGGCAGCTTGGACCACCCCACACACAAACTTACGTATACAACTACACTTCCAAGTACAAAACATCAAACATCATAGGCCAGTATTGCACCATTGTCTAACAATCATGGCACAGCCCCACGAGGTGCCAATTCTTATGCGACTCCTTGTCGCATGGGTGACATTCTACTACAGTATCTTCATGAACGTGGTCGCCAAGTCGGTCGGTGGATTGTTGGAGGCCAACGTATTCACCGACGAGGTTGCCTCGGCCTCTAGCTCTCACGGCTCCAACCAAACTGCTGAGCGGAAGAGAAGGTATAGTCTTCACAGGCGGAGATACCACATTCTGCTGGAGGACCTGGAAGGCATGGTAGAGGAGGAATTCAGGGACTTGTTTCGGATAAACCGAACCATCCTCGAATACATTGTCGCCGGGATGGCGCACTACATGCAGCCGTACGTGGAGGGGTACCTCATCACGCACGAGGTAGCATGATCAGAGAGTGTTCATTAATAGCGTGTTACACGAAAGGTTGCACAACGGCGATATAGCGCCATACCAAATAGTGGGAGACGCTGCCTACCCACTCAGGGATTTCTGCCTAACCCCCCTACATGCACCCCGTGAGGGCCTAATGAACGAGTGGGAGCAGTGCTTCAACTACTGCCAAAGCGCTACGCGCATGGGCGTAGAGCGCTGCATCGGCGCCTTCAAAGGCCGGTGGCGTCTATTCGCGGGCCGCAATGTCTGCAAGCTCTGGAGCATTCTTGCGGGGGCGTCGTGTGGCGTCATCCTCCATAACATGTGCGAAACGATGGGAACAGTTAGGCACGTCAACGTCATGGGCCAACTTGCCCCGAAACCAGGATCCATGGTGGACTCATGGCGCGATAGCAGAGTTCAAGTGGGAGCCATGTGAACCGTGCACGCAAGCGAATATGCGGGAAAGGCGCAAGCGGCTGGGCGAGGCTCTTGAGTCTCCTACCTCACTCGACGTCGCCGCGAACCCACACCTCCTCGGCCGCATCACGCTTAGGGGTGCTGCCGCCGGCCTGCCCGCGATGGAACCATCCGTCGTTGCCGCCTTCGGCAGCGTGCGATGCGCGCAGGTTGTCCGCGTCCACGGGGGTGTCGTTGCGGGCTGGCGGTTAGGGCACGGGCTGGTGCACGCCTTCGCGAGCAATACGCGCGTCCTGCTCCATCCACGCGCAGACGAGGCCTTTGAGCCTGTTCATCGCGTCCGAGTAGCAGTCTTTGATTGTCTCGCACACCAGCTTGGCGGCGGCCATCGTTGCCGTCTCTGCCACCTGTGGGCGCTTCGATGTCGGCGTACCCTGTGGAGGTGGAGCTGCACACACAATGGCCGAACGCGTGCATTAGAAGGTGCATAGTGTAGTAGATCATGTACCCGGGATTACATGCATAAAGATCTCCGCCCAAAGCATCTCATAAAATGCGCACCAGAGCTGCTGTAAACGCATAAGGAACGCACCAGAGAAAGTCAGAGTAGATGTGCATGGCGCAGATGTGGATGGAACCGCGAAACCGCAAGGCACGTTGACCCGTGCCGCACCACCACCTTCGACAGCGTGAGGGTTGCCCACCGCCTTGGTGTTCTGGAAGAGCTCCATGTACGGGTACCAGTGGGGCTTGGACACCGCCCCCTTGCCCGACGCCTTCTCCACCTTTTAAATAATGCTTGAACATGTTCACGAGATTGCGCCACTGTTTCTGAAGCGCGTTCACGCTGCGCACCCACCCGGGATTCTCCTGCTCGAGGTGGCGGACGAGGCGGGCCCAATACTGGGAGCCCTGTTTCCCGAGGAGGGGCCCGAGCTCGTCCTTCATGAACCAACGTGCAGCCACGAAGACAGTGTTCTCGCGGGGGGGCCACACGCTCCGCTTAACAGGATACGGGTTGCGGTTCTTAGCAGCGGCACGAGGAGGTTCACCGCCCTTCGCGGCAGTCTTGGTGCTGGCTGCGGCAGAAGCACGGCCGCGACGTGGAGCCGGGGCCGCTGGCTGGGCCTCCTCGGGAGCGTCATCGTCGTCGTCGGCGTCCTCATTGTCACAGCATATGCACCTTTTGCATATGCCATAACAGTAGGGTGAGGGTATTGGCAGGGCTCTAGGTTGCTAGCACAGGAAGAATAGCTGGAGATAATAAGATAGAGTAGAAAAAGGCTGAAGGTGTAGAATGTGTAGAATGTGTAGAATGTGTAGAATGTAGCGAGGTGATTGTTTAGAATGGGGTGTAGAAGGGGGGAAACGGGATAAGAGCGGATGGGATAAAAAGGGGGAAAAGACACCGAAGGGCGAAATGTGAAACCGCTCCATCCCAAACCCCGAGCCGCACATTTGGAAATGTGCAGCCTGGGGTTGGGTAAGGGCACTCACGTCCAACCCCTCGATGCTTTTGCGATTGTAATTCTCTCGAACTAGTGAAAGTTGCTATCTTCGCTCTAGCACACTTAGGCATATCACTAAGAGGGAACCTACGGGGTGAGGGACTAAGTCTTTCATTACAATTGCAAAAGGGAGCAGTAATGAGCAGAGTATATATGGATAAATACGAAATGCGTTGGGGTAGGATGTTCAGCTGCCGGGAGGAGGAACGGCCGCGACGCGAGCCATCACGTGAACGAGGGCGGTCATTGGAGCGATCGCTGCGCCGCCCGGCCTTTCGCGCAGATCGAATCCCTCTTGCACGGGACCGTCGAGAAGAAGGATCGACGGGCGTGGGAGCAGGCGACGACGGGCACGGCGGTGGCATGGATAGAGACGCGTGGCTGCGAGAGAGAGCACGCGGACCTGGCGAGGACCGTGGAACCCGCCGCGACGCAAGAGTGTTCCGCTCTCCGGAAGAGCGAGAGCGGCGCCGGGATGAGAGAGGCCGTTGGCGAGGCTTCCGGGAAACTCCCCAGAAACAGGGAACGTCCTCGGGGACGGGGAGGGGACATGGGTGGCGACGACCAAGTGGGGATCCTGCAAGAGAACACGGCACAGGATGTGGCAGCGGAGCAGGGCGCGGAAGAAGATGAGGAGCACCTGGGGCTGCAAGTCGAGGAGGCCGATGAAGGAAATGACGGCGGCGACCAGGCAGCGGGAACGGGTGAGGCTGAACCCACGCGGGCAAACAAGAGCGCTGGCGCGAGCCAGGCGGCAGCCAAAGAATCGAGGGCCACGCCGCGGGAAGCGCGCAACCGAGACGTCAGCCGTGGGGAAGAGCGGCGCGCAGAGGGCTCACTGCGCTAGGAGCGAGTGACGCCAAATGACGGCGTTCGAGCTGCACTGGCGCAGAGGCTGCCTGGCAAGGGGAAGGCAGAGTGGTCGCGCACGCCAGAGAAGGATCCGCACCATGGAGAATGGCACGTAGGCATCTTCCGCCCGTATGGTAGGCGATAGGAGCAGGACGGCTGGAGCGGCGGCGGCGAGCGTTCGCCAGATTAGCAGCGAGCGCGCAGTGGCAGAAGGAAGGGTGAGTCGCGCTCACATGAGCCGCACGGGCGCCAGGAAGGAAGGCACGGGGAGGAGCGGGGGTCACAAGAGCGCCGCGGTGAGCAGCATAGGGAAGGCAGCGGCATGGGGCGCTCGTCGGGCCGGCCGAGGCAGAGAGAAGAGAGGGATAGTAGCGGGTCCCGCTCGCCCGAGTGGCGCCGCCCGTGGAGGGAGAGGTACGGAAAAGAAAGGCACTCGCCAGAGCGCCACCAGCAGCGCAGCAGGAAGGAAGGCACCTGGTCACCGTCACCAGAGAGGCGGCAGCAGCGCGACATCAGGAGGTGGGAAGGGCAGAGGACACACGACCCGCCCACGCAGCAATGGGGATGGGCGGAAGAGTGGGCAGGGCCGAGGGAAAGGCGCCGCGGGGCGGAAGGGAGCCGCCAAGAGAGCAGAGCTGTGAGGCCAGACCACACGGAGAACGGAGAAACAAGAGAGACAGCAGGAGAAGAGCAGGTGCAGGAGAAGAATAGGGGGTAGGAAGAAGGTTCTCCGACATCATCGGCGTCACCGTCATCCTCGGAGGGGGACATGCCCTTGTCCTCCTCCTCGCCAGAGTCCGCGTCGTCGTCGCAGGCGTCGTCACACTCGTCGTCATCGAAGGCAGCATCGTCCACGACGCGGGATGATGCAACCCGGTCAGCATCACAGCGTCCGCGGGTTGGGACATTACACGGGGCTTCGTAAGAAGTATCCCCCGTACCAGGCGCTCCTTCGGGCAAGGGGCGACGGGCTTGCGGCCGGCTGCGATCTGCTTGTTCATCCAAGCGATGTACGGGATCTTGTTGAGATCGGGCACACGTCAGTCGTACTAGCTACGCTCTTGCGCTTACGGGCCATGGCTACGGCGTGAGACAAAACGGTGGCTGGACTACGCAACAAGAAAGAGCAAGGTGGGGTTTGGAGAAGAAGAGATTGGTGAGGGAGTGCTGTCAGCGGGGTTGGAAAGGTGAGCACAGTCGGGCAAGGATGTGACCGTGAGGGCTGGAGCACCAGTCATTTGTCTGCCCGGGTAGAGCGGTTTCTTTTCCCGCTCGAAAACGGGCCCGATTCGGGCGTCCATATGCATGCGGTACAGCAAGAGATTTCGACACGCGTGCGATTTTCAGAAGGTGACGGGGCCTCATGTAACTCGTCCGCGACACCCGCGCAATTCACGCCAACCAATGTAATATACAGTGAAAATCGCATTAGTGCGATCTGCGTTTGTGACATAGTACAGTATATGCTGTTTTGGCGTGTCACAAAGTGATTGAGACACAAGTGTCCCCGCAGGAATGTACCCTAAGTTACTTAGATTCTGAGAGGGAGGACTAAGGTAGGACGGATGGTGGGTGAAGCTAGGGTCCTAGGAGCTAATGGGCAACGATACCATCTCATACCGTAATTGGAACAGCGGAATGGTGTGAACAAGGCAGCAGGGTGAGACAAATAGGCAAACCTAATGCGTTGTACCCTATACAATGTACCTCACTGTAGCCTAACACAAATATATACAATAGTTTAACATCATGGTTTCAGACGGAGCATCACAATTAATCATGAATAACTCTTGTGACGCGAGTTCTGAAGACACATCAACATAAGAATGCCCCCTTACGTCACAGATCGCCAGGTGCATGATTTAGGGGAATTCTGATTCTTCTGTATCATTAGACGATTGGGTTGGGTACCCTTTAATACACTTGTATAAGAACCAGGGCATGGCTCATTTGTCCATGCTGGTTACTGTACACCACACAACCCAGATTGATCTCATCAATTTGAGTCTTGCCTTGCACCCCTCCCTAATCATGTTCAATTTTCATCTGCTCAAAGCGGTCGAACAGAGGCTTGGGGATGGTGTGCGAAACGTTGTTGAACGGGATTTCTAGGTCCAGTGCATAAAGCTTCTTCACCCGCTCGTATGTTTCCTGCAGCGGGTGCACAAAACAAACAAGACTGCATATGGGCCAGCCAGTTGACTGATACCGTGTACACATTGCTGGTACTTGCACAGCATAGCAGGCACGAGATGGCAGCATACCACAAAAAGGGTGACTGGCCGAAACAAGGGAGGAACCAATGAAGCTGGTGGAAAGGAGCTTGCGCATACAAAGAGGAGGCAGGCAAGGCCAGTTAATCACTTTGTCATCCCAATTCGCGAGCTTCACATCAAACTTGACCTGATGATTCTTTGAGTCGACTCTAAGGTCACCTCGTATCTACCGAGGAAATGCAGAGGCTACAGGAAAGCAGCTAATGTACACAACGAAGAGGCAGGCAAGGCTGGAAACTTACTTTATCATACATCTTCACGAGCTTCTCGTCGGCGCGGGTCTGGTGTGCGTTGACGCCGAAGTTGAAGATGTCGAGATGGTCGCCTCCGAATCGGTTCACCACATACTTGGCATCCTCCTCCAGACTCTCAAACCGCCCCACAAAGTCGTACTTGATCAGCCCCAGCGCACACACGTCCCTCTGCACACATGCATGGGAGCATATGTGTGGGTAGATACATACATGCACACATGCACGCCATGTGAAATCCACACATGGAAAATGCACACATGAGAGCAGGCACGAGCCGGTGGATTTGCTTCTGCTGGAACCGCATGCCCCCTCGCACATGCCCCCTCGCACATGCCCCCTCGCACATGCCCCCTCGCACATGCCCCCTCGCACGTGCCCCCTCGCACATGCCCCTTGTTATACATCTTCACCTTGTCATACATCTTCACAAGCTTCACCAAGCCAGCCCACCCACAGGTGATGTGGCGGTCCATGTGCCACCCACCTGCAGGGTGATGTGGCGGTCCATGTGCCACCCACCTGCAGGGCGATGTGGCGGTCCATGTGCCACCCACCTGCAGGGCGATGTGGCGGTCCATGTGCCACCCACCTGCAGGGCGATGTGGCGGTCCATGTGCCAGCGCCTCTCCTTGAAGACGAGGCCCACGAGCTTCACAAAGTCGTGGAATGACACCAAGTCGTCCTCCTTCTTCACTGCCTCCCACTGTGCCCGAATCAGCCTGAAAAACGCCTGCAAGTGGGGAGAGGAGCAGGGGGAGGAGGTTAGGGGACCGGAATAAGCATGGGGAAGCATGCTGCCTGCCTGCCCTCTCACTAGAAAGCCCATCTCACCACAACAGCTCACATTGTTCCGATCAGAAAAGGATAGCCTTGGCTCACGTTATTCCAGTACTCTCTCGAACCCCGGCCAGTCGTGTTATTAGGGGCGTCAGTGAGGACCAGCTTGCTGTTGTACGCTGAGAGGGCGCGTGAGGGCAAGCACAAGCGGCCAGCAACAGGCAGGGGGCAGCAGAGCTCAACCCACAGGCAAGTCTCACATGGTTCCAGTATTCACATGGTTCCAGTACTCACATGGTTCCAGTACTCACATGGTTCCAGTACTCACATGGTTCCAGTACTCACATGGTTCCAGTGCTCACATGGTTCCAGTACTCACATGGTTCCAGTACTCACATGGTTCCAGTATTCACATGGTTCCAGTACTCACATGGTTCCAGTACTCACATGGTTCCAGTGCTCACATGGTTCCAGTACTCACATGGTTCCAGTGCTCACATGGTTCCAGTACTCACATGGTTCCAGTACTCACATGGTTCCAGTACTCACATGGTTCCAGTACTCACATGGTTCCAGTGCTCACATGGTTCCAGTACTCACATGGTTCCAGTGCTCACATGGTTACAGTACTCACATGGTTCCAGTACTCACATGGTCCCAGTGCTCACATGGTTCCAGTACTCACATGGTTCCAGTACTCACATGGTTCCAGTACTCACATGGTTCCAGTGCTCACATGGTTCCAGTACTCACATGGTTCCAGTATTCACATGGTTCCAGTACTCACATGGTTCCAGTACTCACATGGTTCCAGTGCTCACATGGTTCCAGTACTCACATGGTTCCAGTGCTCACATGGTTCCAGTACTCACATGGTTACAGTACTCACATGGTTCCAGTACTCACATGGTTCCAGTACTCACATGGTTCCAGTACTCACATGGTTCCAGTACTCACATGGTTCCAGTACTCACATGGTTCCAGTGCTCACATGGTTCCAGTACTCACATGGTTCCAGTACTCACATGGTTCCAGTACTCACATGGTTCCAGTACTCTCTCGACCCCGGGCCGGTCTTGTTGTTGGGGGAGTCGGTGATGACGAGCTTGTTGTTGTACGCTGAGAGCACTCGCGAGAAGGGGTTGCGCACAAACGTGAAGCGGAACAGGTCCGGCCGCGTCATTGCCCGCACCTGGGGTTTGGGCAGGCAGGCGGGGGCGAGGGAGGAGAGGGGGGAGTTTGGGTGGAGAGGGAGGTGTTGGGAGGCGAGGGGAGTGAGAGAGAGAGAGGGGAGGAAGATATGCTTGGAAGTGGACTGTGGACACATGGGTTGTTTGCACATGTGGGCAGGAGAGGATTGCGGCTTCTGCGGCAGCAAAGGTGTAGAGATGGGTGGAGCGGCTGAGTGAAGGCGAGTGGTGCGCGGGGAGAGGCTGAGAAGGGGCAGGTGGAAGGAAGGGTGGCGACGAGGGAGAGCAGTGCAGAGAATTGCACTCTCTTTGCCACACGGTGGGGACACACGCGAATCGCAAGTGCTCGCCGCACATGGGAGAGTTCAGAGCGCACGTGGCAGCACACTCACGGCCTGCTTCTCAGTGAAGTGCACGTGCAGCATGTGCCAGCCCGCCCTGTCATCGTCCAGCGCCAGCAGCGGGTCCTCTGGGTGCGGCTGCCCCAGCATGGCGCGCAGCCACATGAGCCACGAGTTGGCCGCCACCTTGGGCACCGTGCAAATGAACAGCTTCAGCTTCTCTGGTGGGCGTGGGGGATGCGATGGGGAGAGATACAGAACGATTCAGTGCAGTCCATGGCGCCCACCTGCCAATCACCTGCCAATCACCTGCCAATCACCTGCCAGGGCCCTCACCTTCCACCATGGTGAACATGGACCACTTCTGCTTCGTGATTGGCCGGATCTCATGCCGCCCGCACACGGACACGTGCAGGCGAAAGGACGGCAACCGCCGGGCGGCCTGGGCGGCAATGAAGCGCGGCTCGAGCGCGCTGCTGTTGACCGCCACCAGCCCGGCTGCCAGGCTGAGAGAAAAGAGCTCCGAGACCTGGGGAACGAGAAGTGAGGGGAGAAGAGGAGGGGGAGTGGGGGAAGGTAGGGGGAGAAGTGGGGAAGGAGGCTCCAAGGCGCTGCTGTTCACCGCCACCAGCCCTGCTGCCAGGCTGAGAGAAAAGAGCTCCGAGACCTATGGGAGGCGGGGAAGGGAAAGGAAAGGGGAGCAGTGGAGGGGGGGGATGAGGGAATTGAGGGAAGGAGGGGGGAGGGCGCTGCTGTCGACCAGCGCCCCTGCTAGGTTCAATGAGAAGAGTTCCGGTAGCTGTGGAAGGAGAACATGGGCGAGAAGATGGGGGGAGGGGGGAAGTCAGCTCTAAGGCGCTGCTGTTCAGCATCGTGCAAAACATGGCAAACCCACCCGCAGCTAAAGACACCGCATTGAACCCACCTGCAGCTGATGGCACCGCGTTGAACCCACCTGTAGATAAAGGCACTGCTTTGAACCCACCTGCAGCTGATGGCACCGCATTAGACTTTCATCCGACACCTCCAATCTCCGAACCACTCTTCTCACTCTCCTCCTCCCCAATCCTTCTCCTTCCCTCACCACCTCTCCCCCCACCACATCCTCCTCTCCACCCCCCACCCCCTTCTCCCCTCCCTCCCCCTCCTCCACCTCAACCTCCTCCTCCAGATGACACGTGGCAATGCGCGATTGGGTGGCGTGGAGCAGCAGCGGGGAGCGGGCGGGGGGGAAGTAGTCCATGATTTGCGGCACGTGGGCGGGCGAGTGGGCGGCGAGGGTGAAGGAGACGGTGCGGTCAGCGAGGTAGGTCATGGCGATGCGGCGCATGGCGCACATGGGAGGTGAATACTCCGACTCCTCGCTGCACCCCGCACAGCCTGAGGGGCCGAGAGGCTGGGGAGTGGGGAGTGGGGGAAGGGGAGGTGGGAGTGGGGAGTGTGGAGGGGGGACGGGGGAGGTGGGAGGTGGGAATGGGGAGTGAGGAGGTGGGAGTGGGGGACGAAGAATTGGGGGAGTGGAAGTGGAACAGGGACAGAGGAGCAGGAGAAAAAGAATGGGAAAACAATGGCGTTCATTGGGGGAGTGGAAGCTTTATATGGGACAGGGTGGAAAATGGCTTCGGGGTGACAGGCAGGGAGAAGAGCTAAGGGCAGGACGGGTTGATTTGTTGCATATGTATCAGCAGGGTCGAGGAGGGTGGAGACGAGGATTCGAAACGGAGAGCAGGAAGTGAATCGCACGGAACTTGATTGCGAGGGTGTGGAGGTGAGCCACGAGATAGGGCAGCCCGAGGCAATGAGAAAGTGCATGTGCATGCGGGGAAGCTGCCATGCTATGCCATGGTACCATCACACAGCGAATGCAAGCACGGGTGCATGGTGCATGGTGCATGGTACAGCGTGCAAGAGCATGACAGCATGTGGTGGCGCACATCAACGTAGAAGGCAGTGGAGGTGGCGAGGCGGTGCACGTCCTCCTTGAGCACCAGCGCCGCCACCAACGGGGACGGCTCCAGGGCGCCCAGACACTCCTCCACCCGCCGCTCATACTCGCATCCCTCCACCTCCACCCTCCCTTGCGCCACCCTCGCAGCTTCGCCCTGTCCCCCCAGGAACAGACCCGCTCCCTCTCCCTCGCCCTCCGCCGCCCCTGCTGCTGCTGCTGCTGCTCCATGTGCTGGCGGGGCGTGTGGGGTGTGAGGTTGAGCAGCAGCAGAGTGGGGCGCGAGGAAGAGGTGCGGAGGAGGAGGCAGGGAGCGGGCGGACGGCCTGCCCCTGCATGGCCGCAGCACCACCTGCCCTTGGCGATGGGGATGGGAATGGGGATGGCGATGGGGATGGGGATGGGGATGGCGATGGGGATGGGAATGGGGATGGCGATGGGGATGGGGATGGCGATGGGGATGGGGATGGGGATGGGGATGGGGATGGGGATGGGGATGGCGATGGGGATGGCGATGGGGATGGGGATGGCGATGGGGATGGGGATGGCGATGGGGATGGGGATGGCGATGGGGATGGCGATGGGATGATCGCAATGGTGATGCATGAGCGCCCAAGCACAAGCTATGCAGAGGGGCACGGGGAGGGGCACGGGAGGAGGACGAGAGGAGGGATGTGGGAGGAGGACGAAGAAATGACACGAGCAAGGCATGACATCAGGAGTAGAGCATTTGAAATGGAACATAGGAACACGGGCACTGCCCTCTCACCCGCACCGCCCTCATGCCTCACCTGCTGCTGCGGCGTGGAGGCCAGTTGCGCCTTCAGCGCGTCGCTGCGCACAGGCAGGTCGCGCACCCACACCCCGCCCTCCCCCCCGCTCACTCCCCACCCCTCCGCCCCCTCCCCTCCGCTGCTGCGACTGCGGCTGCTGTTGGGCGCGTGGGGGGCGGAAAAGAGGTGGCGGAAGGTGGTGGCGGGCAGGTGGCGGTCGGCGGGCCAGAGGGCGAGCGTGGGCATGTTGGTGAGCGCCGTCAGCGCATACGCCGCGCACACCGCGTGCACACGCTCCGATAGAGAGCCCTGGGGGGACGGACGGACCGGGGGGAGGGGAAGGGATGGGAAAGCGAGGGTGGTGGGTAGGGGGGAAGAGGGAAGGGGGAGGGGGGAAGGGGTGTGGGTGGGGAAAGGGGGGCCGTGGGGATTTGAAGAGAAGAGAATGAGCGTGAGTGTGTAGTGGTGAAGGTCCGCATGGCCCTACAGTCTACACTGCATGCACGCGCTGCTGCAGCGCGCCTTGGGGAAGGGGGAGGGAGAGAGTGGGGGAGGGAGGAGGGGGAGCGCGGGGGGGAGGTGGGTTGGAAGAGGGTACAGGAAAAGGTAAGCGACTAAATTAGGGGCTAGAGCGTATGACACGCTGGGGCACTGGCACCGGCACGCGCGCTGCACGCACACGCGCTGGCAGCGAGCCCTGGGAAGAGAGGGCGAAGCGGGGAGGGAGCCGTGGGAGCGAAGGGGAAGCGGTGGGGGAAGGTTGAGAGAGAGGTGTCATGGGAGAGAAGGGGTCATGGGAGAGAAGGGGGAGAAAAGGAAGTCAATGATGGGGTGAAGGATGATGGGGGATGATGGGCGGGAGGCGGATCATGTTGGGGAACGGCATCAGCGCAGAGCGCATTGCAGCGCAGCGCGCATCACGGCGCAGTGCGTTCCTCAGCGCAGCGCGCACCTCTGCAAGAATCACCGCGGCGGCATGGGCGCATTCGTTCCCCCCACTGCCGTCCGCGCACCTCCACGGATCCACCTCGCCCGCCCTCCCACCATTCCCGATATACGCGTCTTCGCTACCATCTGCAAGATACCCGCTCAGTTCCCCCGTCTCGCCGCTCGCTTTCCACAGATTCGCGATTTTCTGCGACGCTTTGAGCAGCGCCTTGCCGTTGAGAACCGTGAAGTCGCTCTTGTCGCGCGACAGGCTCCAGTGCGACAGCCCGGCGACTGTTGCGACGACGAGGAGGAACGGCGGGAGCAGCCATTGAATGAGGCGAGGCCGCTCGCCGCTGCCGTGCGTCTTCCGCTTGCCGAGCACGATCGTGTGAGTCATTGCAAGGAAGACTGCGCGACGCGTATGCGACGTGTGTCCGACTCGTCAGCGACGCGAGTTATGCCTATGCAAGTACGAGATTCAGCTCCTGACGACAGTAGCAGGCGGATATGTCGTCGTGATGTCGGCAAACGAGGCGGCTAGTCCGCGATGAAAACGCTGATGGGGAGGGCTTATGCATTAATAGTGACTGTTGAATGCGCTGGATGCTACGCCTTAGGTACAGAGCTCTAATCGCCACCACCACCACTGAGGCACTCGCGAGCGGTGTTGGGATCCGGACTTAATTCGGATTCAACCGCTCCGCGGTCGGGAGCAAGGCACGCGGGCGGTCTGAAGTGTCTGAAAACGTTTACCCTAAACTGCTACCTGGTCTTGCGCATGCAACGGTCGTAATCGCTGAGCTCAACGGAGTGCGACGTCTTCGTCCCTGGCGCCGACTTGCTACACATCGTGCAGTAAAAAACACAAATACTATCCGAACAGATAAAGCCTACACCCATGCTTTTAACCTTTTTTGACAGCTAAGAGATCTTGACTTTTAAGTTCGCCAGCCCACAATCAATTTCCCCCGCTTCTGAAGGCGGCCATTTCGCTGTCTCTATTGTCTAGACCCTTGAAGCCTCTGACATCACTGCAGCAAACGCACGACTGACAATGACAATCTGACGCCTACCAACCAACCAACCAGACCTAATTAAAATAGGCTTGCCCCGCTTTGTTTGGTCTGGAGGCAGGCGAGGGAACGAGATGATTGGTGGTGGAAGCTTTGTAAGGGACGGGTGGTGAAAGGAGGAGCAGCCTTTGAAGGCGCTTCGCATCTCTCGATGCGGGGCGGCGGGTCAACTTGGTCTGGTCTGCGGGGAAGAGAATCTTGGCTTGGGGCGTGATTCGAGGAGGAGGGAGGGGGCGGCCCGATGGGTGGGGCTCGCAGGGGGGAGAAGATCATACAGGGGCCGAACAGTGCCAGAAGGGTGATCGATCAGGGGCCGAGAGGCCTGGAACTTACCAGACCGCTGCGCGGGGAGGAATTAACATAAGGGTCTTTGTGTTTTGCGCGTAATTCTGTTATAGTGGCATGTACCGGCTCGCATTTTCGCTCGCGTGACGTTTAGCGAGCTGACTCTACGGGGCAGCCAAAACAAACTAAAACTCATAGGGAACCTCGATGCAATTTCGGGATGGATCAATCCTAAACAAGGGGACCTTCCTGGTATTTAGGGTTGATGCCTCCCGAGTTGCATCCTTTTCCGAATGGGTAATATTTTTTACCTGTGCGTTTCCGATCGGGTAGGTGATATGTATCACTCAGAATATATTATTATGTTACGTACTCACGATTTGACACGCCGAAAATAATTCCAGAAGAAGGCGACGCGCGCGCTGTCGTAGAAGGTGGTCAAAACCCTCAATAATGAAATGAACACAAAAATCCGGTTGTTTTAGCAGCTGTCTTCTACTTATGGTTCGGCTTGTTTGCCGAGTCGTTTGGTCAGCTCCGGGTCGAAATCCTACGGCCGATATTTACCGGCCCTACTTCGATCACCTCTCTGGCACCGTTCGGCCCAAATATGATATTCTCCCCTCGCGGGGGCTGCTCTCGAGGATGTTGGCGCTTGGTGAAGCCTCGGTTGCTGTTTGACGTAGCAGGGAGGCTCGACAAGCGATGCCCCAAACCCAGACCACCTTGAACATCACTGACATACTCCTGGTTGTCTCGCCCCGAACCGTCGGCGAGACACCAAGCCTGGCAGGCATGACACCGAAGCAAATCGTTCTGACAAAGTTGTAAATCCGCAAGTCAGAATGATTGGTGCCTTTCTTGTGAATGTGTGTAGTTGTAACGAATTTTCCAGCATTCCTTACCAACATCTTGTACAAGACCAACCTTTTCTTCTCCTGTACAGATAACAACTTATTGCACGTCACATTTCCTAAACCACGCACTGCTGGACTGGCCCGAATCTCCATACCCTTCGGAATATCTCAGCGGAAACGGGTCGTCAAGCCTGACGACCCTCTGACGACTTGACGACATGCTGCCCTGGGCAGAAAAAAACTAAAACCCTATCGGATGGCATGCCATCCTAGGGAGGCATCAACCCTAAATCCATGCCTCCCTGTGTTTAGGGTTGATGCCTCCCTGTACGGATGCATGCCCTTCTGGGGTTTTTTTTTTTGCCCGCGGGCAGCGAGCTCCCCTGGGCGGACTCGCTTGTCCGCTGAGATATATTCTTCGGGAAAAGCCCAACCTTGCTGCCAACATCGCAGTCCGCCGAATATATCTCAGGGCGTGTTCCTACGCTCTTATCAGGCAAACCTCTTGTCAGTATTGCCTGGTAAAAGTAGCGAGGGTTTTTGGGTTTAGGGAATTTTCAGGGGGAAAAGTAGCGAGCTTGAAAAGAGGTTGCCCTGATAAGGGGCCGTAGGAACACGCCCTCAGCGCGTTCAGGTCGTCACCCGGCGGAGCTCACTGCCCGTGGGCAAAAAAAAAAAAAAAAACCCATTCGGGCATGCATCCGGTCAGGAAGGCATCTGCTGCGATCAGAAGTTGATCGTGGCCTAGGATCTACTCAGGAAGGTTCGCACGCAGAGAAGTGATGTTGGTGGGCCCTTGACCTCAATAGCAGAGTGAATGTAAAATGCTTTGAGATGATTTAAAACATGCAAATACAGCAAATATAAATATGAGTACAGGGGAGATGAAACGACCTAGCTAGCCATGTACTCTAAGGGGTACATTCCCTTATTCAAATGCATTCCCAACCGTGCGGCGCGAACAGTTACGAAACTGTTCCCGCCGAAACCATCCTGCCTGCAGCTGCCTGATGCTGTCTGCTCCAACGGTCCAGATGCGTCCCAACTGTCTGACGCTTCGAGTCGATTCCAACCGTCTGACGCTTCGCGTTCATTCGCGATACTGGGTGCTTCTCTTTGCTGCGGTGAGGAGTGCACAGTAATATTCAAGTATTACTATTCGTAACACCTCCCTTCACTCCTGGCTGTAGCTCGACTTGACCTGCTTGACCACGCCGCTGAGTTCGGAGCAGTGCTGATACTACTGGCGTGGCAGTCGCTTCGTGAGGAAGTTTGCTGCCATGTCACCGGTCGGGCAGTAGGTCAAGTTGACCTTGCCCTTGTCCACCTCATCCTTCACGAAGAAGTACCGCAGCGCAATGTGCTTGGTGCGGTTGACGAAACCAGGTTTGTTCGCGATGCGAATCGCGCTCTGGTTGTCGCAGTGAAGGCGAAATGTGGGCGAAGCTGGAATTTTCGCTTCTTGCAGGAGTTCCTGCAAGTAGAGGCCTTCGCGAACTGCTGCGGTTGCTGCGATGAATTCCGCTTCGGCTGACGACAGGGCAACCAGCTCCTACTTCTGCGAGTTCCACGAGATTGGTCCCGTTGGCTCGAGTCGGAACAGGAAGCCAGTCGTGGACCGTCGATTATCGGGGTCTGCTGCGTGATCGGCGTCCACATAGCCGATGAGGTTGAAGGATGGAGTTGGTGCAGTTGAGTAGCACAGCCCAATCTTGGGCATTGAAACGAAGAACTGAAGGGCGCGCTGCAGATCCAGAAGATTCTCAGCCGTTGGTTTGCGTGAGTACTGTGCCAGCTGACTGGCGATGTACGAGAGGTCTAGCGTGCAGGTGACAGAGGCGAAGAGGAGGCATCCCAAATGCTGCTAGTAAGTCTGAATCCTAGCAGGGGATAGGGGTTTGTTGTCGGGTTTGTGGTTCGGTCCGGGAGTTCGGTAGGGAGTTGAGAGAGGTGCAGGTGAAATGTTGAACCGCTTCCCTAACTCCTCTGCGTACTTAGCCGCTGAGAGATGAATGGCCTCAGGCGCGTAGGAGATGTTGAGGCCTAGAAACTGCTTCACCTCGTAGTTGCACGTGATGTCGACGCGCCCCGCCAAGGCCTTCTCGAACTGCTCGAGAAGCTCGTTGTTTGAGCCTGTGTAAAGCAGGTCGTCGACGTACACCGTGAGGAGAATGTATTCCCCGCGGAATTCGCGGCGATACATCCCTAGATCGTGCGGCATCTGCTTGAATCCGATTTCAAGCAGGATGTTGTGCAGGTACTGGTGCCACAGCCTCGGAGCCTATTTGATCCCGTAGAGTGACTTGCGCAGCTGGCACACGCGCGAGTCCCCTCCGTCGTAGGTGTGCGGCTGCTCCACGTAGATCACGGCGTCCACTAACGCGTACAGGAACGCGTTCTTCACGTTGATCTGGCGGAGTGGTAGGTGCCTTGCATCTGCAATGGCGAGCAGGATTCGAACGGAGGTATGGCGGCTAACTGGGGCGAACATATGGTCGAAGTCGATGCCATGCCTCTGATCGTAGCCGCGAACCACCCAACGCGCCTTGAAGCGCTCGATCGTTCCGTCCGCTGCAGTTTTCACGCGGAAGACCCACTTCCCTGAGAGGATTCTTGCGCCTTTGATCGCCGCGCGGTCGACTAGCACCCAGGTGTCTCGTGACTCCAGCGCCTTGATCTCTGCGTCCATTGCTTTGCGCCATTCCTTGCTGTGTGGTCCAGAAAGAGCTTCGCGCGGATTTCGGGGCTCGATGACACGTGGCGCCTTTGAAGTTGCGGTGTGAAGCCCGAGCAGCTGCAGTCCTGAGATAGTGCTGTCGTGGCGACGTTGCGGGATGACTTCCTGTACGTCGTCGTCATCGCTTTCTGGTTCAGGAGGCGCTGGTGGTGCTGTGCCTCTGCCGCTTCCGCCTGTTCCGGTTCCGCCTGCTGCGCTTATTCCTCCTCCCGAGGAATCGTCGTCGTCGTCGTCGCTGCTGCGTCGTTCTTCCCACACGAACTCGCCCCTCGTGTCCTGCTCCAAGATTGCTGCAGCGGCTTCGTCTTCGGGCGTTGCGTAGCTGTGCCCATCGTTCGCGTAGACGCGGTTCGCGTTCGTTTCTTCGTCGCGGCGGAACTGGTCGAGGAAGAGGCGCTCGTAGAAGATGTCGTCGTAAGCGTGAGCGATTTTCTGACTAAGGAGG